CCTTTGTAATTATAATAGTCTGATGCTCCGTGTGGTGGATTTTCGATTAATACGTGTTTCCCGTCAATAGCCCCACAGCAAAAAGGAAATTGCCAGCGATCTAAAAAATCCTTTTGTATTTTCTTCCATTGATCTGTGGTGGATGGCACCTAAAAGAAATAAACTTATATTAGTGTATGGTTACAGGGAAAAGATTCAGCGGTGAACACAAACAGCGACGCGTCTTCATATTTTGATGAATTGGAACAAGAAGATAATATTGCGCCCTTACAAAAGAAAAAAAAATTGTCTCCAAAGAAAAAGGCGGAGCGTGCTCTAATGGACGCACCTAAAATGGACCCACCTGTTTTACAAGCAGTCAATAGATTAGAAACTTTGGCTCAAACTATCCGTCAAGATGAATTTGATACATTCGGAGTACATGTGGCAAGCCAATTACGTAGTTTGCCATTAAGAAATGCTATTGTTTGTCAAAATTTCATCAATAATTATTTGTCACAAGAAAGACTGAAAACCTTAACACAACATTTTCCAATTGCTAGACCTACGAGTTCACTTTCAGAATATTCACGCTATACTTCGACTCCAGAAGCCGAAGCTACTACTTCCAGAAACCAAGCTTTTCAATACCAGCGTGAAACTTCGACTCCCGAAGCTTCCACTTCTAGAAGGCACCTCGATTATGAAGAAGACTATTTTGCCAGCTGTTTACTTACACAAAAAAATACTGGGCAATAATACGGAGTGAACGACGATATTCTATCTCAAGCTGTTAGGTCATGCTTAGATGAAAACACAATGGAAAATTTATAAATAAATCGTTTATAATTAATTACTAGGTTCATTTACCATAATGAACTCCTGTAAAACATTGTATATAGCATCCAAAACATCCTTCAAAAACAAGGAAATTGTGCATTCTGGAACTCTGAATGACTCTGCAAGACTTGAATAGTTATCACCGGTAGCCAGGAACTTCAGGGTTATTTCTAATTTAATTTTCGGAGAAAGTGCTACTCGCATATTGGTATCGCATTTTTCTATAAGCGGAGTAACCTTATGTAGTAAAGTATTAAACTGATCAGTAGTCATTCTTAATCGTTTTTTAAAATAATCAGGATCTTCTAAACTCCACTCAACCAATAAAGTATCCGAAGCACCCAAGTCCTTACGTCGAGAAATCCATCCACGTACCCAAACATTACGTTTTCTTCTTTCCTTTTGTTTTTTCTTCACTCTTTGTTCTTTAAGCAATTGTTGAATAATTGAATAATTAATTATTTCAATTCCGGTACAAACGGCTATTCTGCTCAACATTTTCGATGGAAATGACAGAGCCGCATGCGATTTTAGTAACCAGTGTAAATGGGCTAGCGATGCGGCTTGGTGAGGCAATTAGTGAAGCGACTCGCCGCACGGCGAAAATCGACCCGTGTAAACCCCCCTTAATGAAGCAGTTGTGTTTTTAAATAGCCCCTCATCACCTACAGAACCCAATCCCCTCAAATATAACCGTCCAACAATAACTGAATTTATTAAAACCGCGCAAATCGTACTTTAACGACTAATTGGTCGTCTTCACTGACATTTTTTTGCTGAAGTATTGTTGAAGTTTTCAATATTTTTTTGATCTACCTAGGAAATAATTAGACAGTATAAACGCACTTGTTAACAAAACGCTAGTAAATACGGCCATTGCCAGCTGACTGACAAAACCGGCGTATGCGCAATATAGGCCTGAGGTGATGGTTTGCTTATTAGATATAAAATAAGTAATAATTGGGAATTTAATTGTTTTTATGATGCAACAATCACCAATAGTCGGTGAACAAACGATAAATCAAAATTAATTAGTCGGAGTGATAAAAATAAAGACATCTAGTAAGGGGGGCCGACTTAAGGGTCAAAGGTAAACAATTAAAAATAAAAAAATCCAATAATTAAAAAAGGGGGCCAAATTCATTGAGCTCCAATATTTCCGACATGAAATTTAGTTCCACGCGGCTAAATTACTCGCCAAATTTTTTTAGTGCAAAATTCCTATTTCATTTTTCTCACAACAAATATGGTTTTGGCGTTTGTTATAAATTTTATTAAATGGTATGATTTTATGGTAAATTATGATCAATTGTCTATGAAGCTTACCTACTCTGTGGTTTAAACATAGATTATAGAGATAAAAAAAGGGCGGGAACGTCAAAATAAATAGGCGCTTTTTTCAAGTTAATTTTAATTTATTTGGTTTTAGCCCTTTTTTACGACATTGTTTTCTAATTTTTCACTGTGTTTGAGTTTAAAATTATATTTCATAAGTGTGTTCCGTAATAATGGACGATGACGACGGGGGTGAGGGCTTCAGCTCCGCCCCTGTGTCCGCTCCCATAATAATGGGAAAAAGAAGAATGAAGTCATCTGAATACGACGAAAGCCGCAAAATAAAAATGACTTTCATTAAAAATAAGCGCGGTCTTTTTAAAGACCACCATGCTCTTTACGAAGACCTTACAAAAAAAGAATACCCAGTGCTTCTTCAATCAAGCATCTCACAACCAAATAACAGAGTCCCAATGGACCTGTTAAGAATAAACAAAGCATTAAAAAATATTCAAGGGGTCCAGTATGTCAAAGCTGCTGGTAACTTTTTTGCTAAAATTTACTTTGGTTGTGCTCGGGATGCCAATGCTTTTTTATTAAATGTNTTTATACTATTTACAGCTCTATCTACATTATGGTCTGTACAATATATTACAAGATCATCTGCAAATTGTAAAATATTTACACCTTCTATATTTACAAAATTAAGAATTTGACTAGTATATATATTATACAGCAGTGGAGATAATGTAGCCCCCTGCATTGTACCTTTGGAGACCTTTCTGGGACCATGGAGAATATTATTATGCCTTATATACAAAGTTCTATCTGTTAAAAAATTAAATAACCAATGGCAAAGTATGCCTGGTATACCAGTGTCAGAAAGAACTTGAACCAAAATGCCAGGGTCTACATTATCAAACGCACCTTGAACATCCAGAAAAACACAAACACTGGACTTATTATTATTATTGGCATATTTCAGATCTGACAAGAGAGAGATGAAGCTGTCAGCACAACTTCGCCCTCTCCGGAAGCCATATTGAACATGTGGAATGATGTTGTTCACCTCTACATAAGACTCAAGACGCATCTTTATCATGTTTTCATTAAGCTTTCCAACACAAGATGACAGTGATATGGGACGATATGAGTTAGGGTCTTCAGGTGGTTTGTCATGCTTAAGTAGAGGGATTACACACTGTGTTTTCCAAGATTCAGGAATTTTTTTTAAGTGCCAAAGAGCATTAAGATTAGCTAATAGTTTCTTTTGAACGGACTGATTTAGGTTTTTGATTAAAATATATGGACAATCATCTAAACCAGGGGTTGTGTTTCGTCTGGATTGTAAACTTGTACAAAACTCACTCCAAGTAAAGGGCTCTATGAGGAAACTGGACTTTTGAAGACTATTATTAATTTGAAAATAACTTTCTAGATTATCAATAACCCTACATCCATTCTGAGATAATTTTTCTAAGAGAGGGACAACAAATTCGTCTTTATATGTTCTATTATTGCATTTTATTCGTTTAAATAACTTGATGTATTTCCAAATAATACTAACAGGTGTAGTTCTGTTAAAAGTATTACAGATGTTCGCCCAACCATTGCGTTTATGTTCTGAAATAGTCTTTTTCTTAACAGCATCAAGTTTTTTATAATTAATGTAATTATCAATGGTTGGATGTCTTCTGTATAGTTTTAAAGCTTCATAAGTTTTAATAACACTCTGTTCACATGTGTCACTCCACCAAGGTGCTGGAGGTTTGCAACGATAGTTATTTGCTTTGACAAACTTTGGCACAGTATCCCTCTTAAGTGTATCAAGCCTTTCGATAAATTCGTCATATGACTGTAATGGATTCTCATTATTAACTTCAAAGTTAGAAAAAGCAGTTAAAGATAGCTCATTGTATTTCGTCCAGTCTGTCTTGTTGTATAAGAATTTTTCAATGGGAGGATTAATTTGGTATCTATCAACGGACAATAAAACACGAGTAAGCGTAGGAAAATGATAGCTCCCCATAGAATCATCATGCACCCACCATTCGCATAGTGGAGTGATTGGAGCACTACAAAAACTGACATCAATAGCCGATGGATTTCGGTTAGGATAATTAATAGTAGTGAAGCTACCATTGTTAAGGACACATAGATCAAATTCATCAATTAAATCGTATAACTGATGACCCCGACTTTTCGTGGTCATACACCCAAATGCCATATGGTGAGCGTTGAAATCTCCAGCCACATATATTGGCTTAGGCAAATCTCTAATTATATTGCGCAGTTTACTTATTCTGAAGCTACCATTCGAGGGAGGGCAGTATGCACATAAAATCGTTAAGCGGTTACCACTTACATATAACGATAATGCCACAGTCTGAATGTCTTGGTAAAATCTGGTTTGAATAATATTATATTTAAAATATGGTTTGATCAAAATTGCTACTCCACCGTGCTCATTTTGGGCATTATTATAGTGGGAATTGTATCCCGAAATTTTGAAATGCTGAGTATCTTTCAGCCAAGTTTCGTTGAGTAGACAGATATCAACATTTTGCTCAACTAAAAATTTAGACAATAAGGGTTTTTTCCTATGTATGCTTTGAATATTGTACTGAGCTATACATAACTGTTGTATGTTCTGTACTGTATTGTCCATTAATGTGACAGATTTTTTAAAAGTAAGTCTTTAATGAACAGTGAAGTCACAGGTTCATTATCTGTTTTATTACCCAATTCAACTAAAGTTTGGACCATTGCCATTAGAATATTTTTATTGTTTACAATTTGAGTCTTAAGTTGAGTTTGGTTCAAGTTGGGTTCAGGCACTGTTTTATTTACATTATTTACAATTTTTACATTTTTATTTAATTTATGTACATTTTGGCTTGTTGATGGTAGGGTCTTAACAATGCTGCTCGACTGTGTAGGTAAAGACGGAAAATCAGATGTCGTAATTGTATTAGCCACAGAGGCATAAGTAATGTTACCCTTTTTTTCCAGTATTTTTTTCATTTTTATTGGGCAAGATTTGGAAATGGCCAGGTGAGGGCCACTGCAATTGACACAACACAGGTTCTCTTTTTTATCACAGTCTCTGAAATTATGCTCCCCAGCACATATCGAGCAACGTTGTTTACCATTACAAATTTTCGCAGGGTGGTTGAACTTGAAGCACCGGAAGCATTGCTGCAACGGCGGGACATATTCAAACACCCTGAACGAAAATAGGTCATATTGGATGTTGTCGGGCAAAACATTTGATAAAAAAGTTATACTGACAGTCTCGAGACCTACAGTACTTTGACCGACTTTTTTCGTGAATCTTCTCACTGAAATTATTTCATAGATCGAAGACAATTTCGTATATAATTCCTTGTTCGAAATGTTGGTAGGCACATATCGGATGATTCCAGTTTTTTCTATCTGCGCTGCAGGAATATGCGCCTTCAAGTTGTGCTTTGTTAAAAAGTCTGTATTTGTAATGAAATTATTGGCAGTGTTGTATTGTTTAAAAACAACCGCAATTTTGTTGGCATTGACACGATGTAAAGCTACTACACCTTTCACATCCGAAGTAAAAATATGATTTAAGTAAACTGGGCTTTTATTTCCGAGTTTAATCTGTTGGTCCTGGCTTTCAACAAACACTTTGAAGTCCGTATTTGTACAATGTTCAGGATAAAGTCTCAGATAACCTGGCTTAAAAAACGGAATAAAGACATCCTCACCGCCGCCTGCTTCAGGTCCACATTCCTTCACACCTCTTTTACGAAGAATTTTCGATCGTTTCGGGGTTCCACCTGGGTCCTCCGGTTCGTTCATTTTATTAATTAACAAAATCTACAATTATTTACACTAAATATATACTATATAAAATAAGTTTTGATAATATTTACGCAGGATATTTTAACGAAAATTAGTAAAAAAATTTAAATCGACCGCCACGTTTGGAGTTCCCGCCAAAAGTCATCATAAAATCTAAATATCCATGATCATAGATTATACACTTAATATTCGAGATCCATGATTGTCAAATGACATTCTGATAAATGTCAATGTTCAGTCTTAACAAACCTAAACTGTCAAATGTCAAAAAGTTCAATTCTCATTTTCTCTTTGTTTTGATGCCGGTTCTGATAACGACTAATATTATAAGAAATATTTTATGTAAATGCTTATTTCTGGGGAAAATGGCTAATTTGCCTCCACGAAAAGTTACCTCAGCTAGCAAATCAAAACAAGATGCTTCTCCACTGCAAATACTTTTGCAAATGGGTTTTAGAAGGCAAAGAGCGTAAGTTTGTAGCGACACTTTGTCTATATTATGTGGTAATAAATGTAGTAGTAGTATCTAGTTTGGAACCACAATAAATTGTACAAGCAAATTTAAAGAAATCAAAACTTAATTGGGCCACAGTAAATATAATACTACAATATAATTTAAATTGCTTAGGTTGAAAGCTTTAGCAGCAACTGGTAACCGCAGTGTTCAACTCGCCTCTGACTGGCTATTGACACACGTTAGTGACTCGAATATAGATGCTGATGATCCTCGCGAGTATATCTTCTATGCCAGTCCTACAGGACCTTTACTCTCACAACTCCTAGAATTCTGGGATAAGTCTAAGTCGACGTGTGGTTGGAATGGAGCTCATAATTTTTTACCTCACATCACTTTAGTATCTTTTTTCAAGGTAATAAAAAAATATATCATACATTCCTGTTGATCCCTCTATCAATTTATGCATAGTCCCTGTAAACAAACATTTATAAATAATGTAAGCCTCATTTTATTTTTTGTCAAATCTTTGAATTGTTTAGGTTTATTTTAATTTTCTATATTTTGCCACCAACAATTTATTTACAATATATGTTATGGTTTTTAGAGTTAAATGGAAACTGGGCTATAAGTATTATTTCAGATAATAGATAATATGAAAATCCTCATCCCCACTTCCAGACATAAGATATGAGTTACATTTGTAACAATGGCTATTTTACTTCTGCAGCTAATTTTAAAATTTAGTCAGTTTCTACAAAAATTGGATATTAATTTTATACTCATTAAATATATAGTTAAATTGATCCAAAAAAGAAGACACCACAACCATCAATGGTCATTGTTTTTGGAAATGCTTCGCTTATGCCTTGTACATACATATATGCAAAGTAATTATTATTTATTACAAATAATTATAAAGAATGGATGGATATAGAACTGATGTGATTGATAAATGTTTATTATTAACATATCTTATGAAATAATAGTACATATCTAAACAAATAATCGCAACAGTAAAAAAATATCCATAGGCACCCGATGATACATCTCTTCATTTAGCAAAAGCAGTTCGGCAAGTTGTCGAGAATGTGGGTGACCCACCTAAATACACTCTTAAGCTCGAACCCTATGTATCACACAACTTTATGGGCTTGTTTATCTCTGAAGAACATGCTGAGTATTTGAAAAAAATTGCAGTGCAATATGTCAAGCAAGTGTCTTCAGTTTGTAAGTATATCTATAAAAGAAGAAATCAATCTAAGAAAAAATATTGTAGATTTTCACTATTTTAATGTAAACTTTATAGTTAAATATCTATTACCATTATTAGAAACAGCATGTACTGGTTATTTCTAGAATTTAGGTACTGTTGACTTATTTGACCCTAATCTGATTATGAAGAAAATAGTCTTTATTTATTTGACATTATGCCTGTGTTACTTCAGTGGGTGTAATGGTGGACACATATGAACATTTGGATGCATTAGGAACATGCTTTCCGTGGTGTGCAATGGCACAAGAAAAGAATCTTAAATGTAAGAGTGGATATTCTAACAGCTTGCTTTGATGTAATAACATTTTTATGACTATTTTTATTCTAAATACAAAGCAGTAGTTTCTTATTTGCATTTTATTATTGCAATTGCAATTTTGTTATTATATATTGCAGAGAGTTCTCCACTTCAAACACAAGTTTTGAATGTCTCTCTTGCACTACGCTCCGTGAGAGAATCTCATGGCCGATATATCGCACATCCCCCGTGCTGTCATCCGCATAGCAATGCATGCCATAAATAGACAGCATGTCATTGATATACAAGATGAAAAGCGTGGGGGAGAGCACCGAACCTTGTGGAACGCCAGCGTTAATGGTCATGGTATCAGAGCATTCATCGTCTAGAACGACCGTGATGCTCCGCCCATCCAAAAAGCTAGCGATCCACTTGCAGAGCCCCTTGGGGATTCCGTAAGCTGGCATGACGTCGACATTTCATGTCACAAGGTGGGTGAAGCCATTTACATTGATGTTGATTATTTGCTTCTTCTTCATCACGTAACAAATTGTTTTCGGTTGCAATCTAGAATAGCTTAGTAATAAATGAGGGAGGCTAGGAGGATGCGAGCCCTCATGCAGGTTGCTTAATCGTTCTAGCATTAACAGGGGAAAATACACTTAAAACTTTTTCGAAAACTCTGCTAATACCTTACCTTTTTTTTTTTTTTTTTTTTTTTTTTTGATTGAAGTATTACTGGTGGCCCGGAGGCCTTT